TTCATCACTGGGTAGAACTCTCTTTTCGCTCAGTGGCTTACTGTGTAATAGTTATGGAAATAAACTTAGAAGAATATATCGTATGTTAAGATGGTAGAATTGATTCTGCCTGCAGGCTATTGCAGTCATTCTTGCTGACATTATCCTGTTTCTATCTGATTGGCTCTGTAGCTCCCAGTATTTTGTAGTAGAGTTTGCCTTACAGGAGCTTTTTGAAAAGAAGCTGGAAAATAGTAAGCTGTGATGTCATAAGTGAGACATCGCCCCAAGCAGTGTCTGTTTGTGTTGAGGATTTTGGGGGGTTTATGTCACTGCATGTAATGAAAAGTATGGTACTTATTGATCTAAGGCGGCTGCAGCAGAACTTAGGGGTTCCCTCCCTCTCCTGTTCATTGAGATTGGTTCCTCCCCTCACAAATTACTGCAGACCATCTGTGTGTGCCTGCACAGCCTGTTTTTCAGGCCTTAGGTGTTGCCCACATTGCAGTTGAGAGGTTCAAGTGCAGCTCATAGAAGCCTACCAGAGAAGCTTTAATCTAATTAGCTCGAATAACAACATTAGCAAAGATGTGATGGAATGAGCATCAGTAATAAATGTACACTGATGTGAAAGCCTGCTAGGAATCCTCAGGACATCTCCGGGTGGCCTGAAACAAAAATATACAAATTTTTAAAACTATTCCCTAAGGCTATTGAAACAGCAGCTTGGCAGTAACTTCAAAGCCCCAAATCACCCCATAATCTTGCCTGTAAAACAATGCTAAAATATTATATAAATAAACTGCTTGTCAAGATCAATTTTTAGTTGTAAAAAAACTTTAATTTCCTCCTCGTTGTTTACCAGTCTTTAAAGATCTGTGCACATGGCTATCTCAATTACAGCCAAATCCTCTGTGTTCACTGGCTCCATTATAACAGTCAGTCAAAGCAGGCTTCTCCAACCAGCCCGTCTTCCTGCTGCTGCCTACAGCATTTTGTTACTGGTAGCCTGAGTATCACTCTTCACTTTTCTTGAGTGGTAGAAGAGTAACACAAGCTGATGAGTCCCAAGTTACTGCATATTCTTTTGTGGAGAAGACAGCCAACTGGCTTAATAAGAAAAATAAGAAAATGATCTCCTAAGTCCCACAGCTCATGTCAATAAGCCACAGGTGTGGAACCAGGGCTTGGATAGGGTTCATTTGAAATATTTTTGTATAGTATACAAAAATCAGAAAAGGCAATTGGAAGATAAAATCTGCATACTGCACCAAAGGCTGTAGATCTTTAAAGCTTTTAAACCAAGAGTCATGAGAGGGAAATGTAAGTTAGTAAGTAAATGTAAGTTACGCAAATAGAATTGGAAAAAGATTTATTTTCTTTTTTTTTTTTTCTTTTTTTTTCTTTTTCAAAATAAGAAAATGAAATTCTTTTTGGGAAGTTACATCTACAAGTTTCATCTTTAGTGTACTGCTTATTATATTATTTTTGAATGAGCATTACTTAACAGGAACATTATTCATTACACCTGCAGCAACAGCAGTAGATCTCATTGTCTCTCCATCTGCAGTCCTCAACATGGGCCACTTCAACAGATCTGGAATATTTGCTCAATGTATTGTTCAGTCAGCTCTGTATGAAATACCAGGGGATGTTAATGCTAGGATTGCAGAGGGGACAGTGTACACAGGCTCATTCTCCACTAATCAGGCTTGTAGGCTTTGTAACCAGGCAAATATTCACTGGCAAGGCTTCAAGAGTATTGGGATAAGAGCTTAATTCTTGCTCCTGCATGAACCTCTTGAGAAGCAAACCCAGTTTCTTGGGCTTGGAGACAAAGTCCTGTATGCCATGATTTGCCTGATCCCTTCATTTAGAGTAATATAGAAGAACTTTGTGTTTAAACATACGATGAGAATTAAGAAGTCTGCCTCTGAAACAGGCTTTCTGCATGACCTTGATGATCACTTGATGTCTCCTTGCTTGTTTTCTCATCTGTGCAACAGGGAAAATGTTTATTGGCTACACATGGGGCCAGGAAGCTAAATTAATTATTGTTGTAAAGTACTTTGTTACTCTTAGGTAAAAGGTTTCCTACAAGTATGATCTCTAGCTACTTAGTGTCTTAGTGTACTTAGTGTCTATATTTCCTTCACTTTTTAGTCATACCCTATCAATTTTACTTCACTAACCCTCTCATCTGGGTATAAAAGATAAAATCAGGAAAAACTAATGACTGCATTACTTAGATTGAATTTGTTTGGTCTAGATTTCTTTATTTTAAGTATACTTCCACACAACTAACACCGACCCTGGGGGTGTTCAAGGAAAGACTGGATGTTGTGTTGAGGGACATGGTTTAGTGGGAGCTATTGGTAACAGGTGAATGGTTGGACTGGATGATCTTTTAGGTCTTTTCCAACCTTGGTGATTCTATGATTCTATGTTTCTCTTCTTCGGTAACTTTTTTATTATGATCTTTTCTCCTTTATATACTGTCTAGGGTATCCATGAGCTCACACAAATGGACTAGACTTTGCACCCCTACCCTTAAATTCTCTTTCATTATCTGTTTGATCTATTTTAATGCCATTCCTCTTTTTTACTTTTCCTCTATTATTATTATTTTTTCCTTTCACCCTTCAGGAATCACAGATCCACCAAGAATCATTTGTACACACTGTCATCTCTGTGTTCTATGTTACTTTTTTTTTTTTTTTTTTTTCCCCCCAATGGAACAGGGCAGGTAGTGTGCTGTGCTGGATATCAGAGCAGGATACCTTAGGTATTCTGAAACCATTTGACTTCACCTTGTGTCATTTCTAGAATGTATTTTCTTTCTCTTAACTACGAGACAAGACAGAAATTTGGCTAGAGTTTGCCTTGTTTCTGAAACACTGTTTAGCTAAGTGTTTCCAGAACATCTGATGCTACTGTTATCGTGTACAGCAGGCTGCTGAAAGTGTGAGCTATGAAGGAGGTTATCTAACTCCCCAATACAGGCTTCTTTGAGACTTTAGATAAGGATGTGATTAAAATGTATGTATCCAATTTGTAGAAAGTGGCTGCACTGCAAAAAATGAAATTATAGATTGCATTGTAGGTAAATTCTATGGTGTAATCACTTCAGATGGCTTTGAAGTACAGTTTCCTATACTTGATTCTATACTATTTTTCTGCTCATTACTATTTCTTAGACAAATTGGAATTAAAGTTTCTATGCCTCATTGCTTACCCTAGTCATTTCCTGAAGTTTCAAAAAATGTCATTGAGCATGTCTTTGTTAAAAATAATAATAAGCTGTTAGGCTATCTTATTCAATACGCTCAAGTCAGAAGATACTCGCAATCATTGAATGAATGGGTTTTGTAAGGATGCAGCTTGTTCATTGGAATTTGTTGAGCTCTACAGAATAAGCCAAGTTTGAAGAAAACGTATATATTTAATGACTTTGAAGTTATAGAAACTGAAAGGCTTTTTGATGAATGTGGAGCATGATTTTCTCTGCTCTGTTTGCAGCTTGGATCATAAGGACAACGATTGACTGAAAATGTTAAAGTGACATTTTCTGAAGCTTAGCTTCAAATTTTGCTTCACAATGAGATGGTGGCAAGAAGTTAAGAAATTTTTAACACTAGGTTTTACTCAAAATGGCCAAGCTTACTATGTCTCTATTTCTGTGAAGATCCTACCTTGCAAGGACTCAAATTTCCTGGATTTTGTATTGCATTTTAGAAAACTCTTGGCCAGATTCTGGAGAGCATGTGTCCATATGTCATCAAGCTCTTAGTCCTTTTGTACAATATAGCAGCAGTGACTGGGAAGTGTTTATGTCCTTGCCTAATATTTCCTGCAACAGACAAGTGCCTTGAAAAGAAGCAAATTTTGTCCACCAAGAGAAGTGCATAGGTTGAAATAGAAAATAAGTGGGGATGTTCAGAGAACCACCTGAGCTTCTAGGTACGGTGAAACATTTTTCCTGTTGTCTCTGAGCAGCATGCTCAGAGCTTTAGCATCACATGTGCCAGGGGCCGGTGCTCTCACCTCAGAGACCACAGTGGTACAAGTGCTGTGCTCCATGAATAATTCTGTGCCTTGCTTATGTAAATGGAAAATATGATGACGGTATGTAATGCTGCATTTTAATATAGAAATGCAGGATGCCAGTTTCAGTGAGACATCTCCTCGGACTTCAGTGTAACCTAATGATGATACACTGGGGTGACTTCTGCTGCCAAGGAGTTCAGTGGTATTCAGCTGGTTAAAGGGATATGAAACTGGATGTTTGCAGTCTTCAGATACAAGTCCTTAAAGAAATATTAATGCTTTGATTAACATTCTTCTTAGATATTTATGATATTTTGCTGAATTGTTGTAGGCCCTCACCTTTTAATGCACTTGTAAGGCTGGATATTTAATGAGTGAAAAAGAGTGTGATATGTGCAAAATAATATTTAACCCTCCTAATTGCTCTAGATTATTCCTCTGTTCAGAAAATCTTTATTCATTTATTTATTTGCACAGGGGATTGTCCCTTCCCTCTTCTGAGCTCAACTCTATTTCATTCATTGTATTTCATTGGGAAAATTCTCAGGCTAAACTGTAGACATTTGTCTGGTTATCTTAATACATAATACTTACATTTTTAATAAGTTTTGAATACAAATACACAGATAAGTGAATAAATATTTGTATTTGTAATTTGTTTTTTGTTTTTTTTTTTAGACAAGGAATTGTTCTTCATATGACTGCATAAGTAACTACACTTTCTAGGGATTTACCAATCAGTCAACAGATTTTGAAAAGTGGATCTTCTTAAATATTAAATGTTAAGCTGTTCTTTTTGTACAGTTCTTTAAGTACAGTGCTTATTGAGACAATGCTTCATTTTTGCTTTTCCGGGTTTAGGAATTTCAGTCAATATTGTATATCAAAAAGCTTCAGAAAATAGTGACTGTTTAAATAGAACTACTCAGGTACAAGGCAGGAAAATTAAAATATCACATTTTATCTCTCAACAGATTTTATCTGATTAGTGGTGGTGTTCCTTTCATTATATGTGGGATTACAGCAGCAACCAATATCAATAATTATGGGATTGAAGGCAATGCACCATAGTAAGTACAAGATATTATCATAAAACCTTTAAGGAAAATATTTTTTTATTCTTATGCTGATAAATGTAATACTGACATCATAAAGTATACAGACATGCCACTTGGGATTGTATTTAATATGAAATTTTATGGGTTAATAGCTATGAAAGCAGTAACTTAATCTGGGGCTTGCTGCTTCACTTCCACCAGTTTGACTCCATTGTGGTCAATAGAATCACTTCTCATTTATAGAATCACTTATCATTTACGCCACAATAAGTGAGAGGATATTAAAAATTGACTAATGGGTGGCATATTTAATGGGGCCATTAATTACCTTAATGAATTAAAAGTATTTAATTATCTACCTTGAATTGATATTTTCCAGGTAAGTTATTTGAAGTTGGTTTTAAATAGTTACTTCAAAAAAGGACAAGTAAAAATTCCCTTTTTCTTCTCTTGAAAACCAATGATTTTTTATTTGTGCTGTATGGAAATTTTCCAGTCACAATGTCTTTCAATGGCGAGATAGCAATCTCATCTACCAGCATATTAGTGTTCAGTATACTTCCACAAGCTGTTCAGGCATCATGTTGTTATTAATTCTTGGCATGAAACATGATATATCAATGAACTGCAATAAGCCTCTCCATAAAATCATGGCAGAAAGTGATTCAGACTGTAAAGATAAATGCATTCTATGTAAGTGATCAACAAGACAATGACTGATGCACTAACGGCGATATTACTAGACTGCCAACACCTTGTTGCTAGTTCTCTGGAGGATGTTACTCTTAGATGCTTAGAACATCTACCGTAATGCATTTGAAACTAGTTATGTTCTGGATGAGAAAAATGGAAACTGAAACAGAATGACTTGTAACTGAGCATTTGGCTTCTTAGAAGTATTTTACTGGTAATTAAATTTTAAATTCTGGTAATTAATTAGTACACATAGTGACTGTTTCCCCTGCCTAGGACCCAATTCACATTCAGATATTTATTAAAATTTATTAAATTATCCAATCACTTATAATCAACAGTATATTAAAAGACGCTGATGATTTGGCACAGTCAGAGGTTATACTTCCCTAATCATAGTAACAATAGCCTATCAATGCCTGGTAACATAGTCTACTGAAAACAAGGCACAGATGAAGGATGCTTTTAAAACTGAGTAAAAAACCATCTAATTCAACAGACTGTATGTTTTATGCCTTTCTCATTTTTAATAGTATTAGCACAGAAAAAATGTAGATGTGCAAACTTGAACTTCTGTCTTCTAACGTAATTGATTTTTGAAGTGATCCACAATGAGATTTCACTTGAAGTAAGAACACCCCAAGAGAGTGTTCCACTGGGGAGCATTCCATTTTCCACTTTGCATCAAATATGCAGCATTCAAATGTACTTCAAGTACATTCACATAGCTTTGTGCTCTGTCCTTATTCAATTAAATATAAGTGATTACTTACCTATCTTTTCAAAGATGTATTTCTGGAAACTTTTTATATGCATGTCTGGCAGCAAAATATATGCTCTCTGAAGTGTTTCTAAGTTCATTAATAAATGGATATACGTTTTTGTTTAATGCTTAGATTTAAAATATATACATGTATATCAGCATTTACACCACAGCTTCTCATAGTGAACATCCATTGGGACTGCATCTTCTTTAGCTGAGAGGTTCTCAGCCTGGGGAATAAATTCATTCTGCCATTTTTAGAACAATAGTAGATGATTCCTGGCTTGACAGGAATGTGATATCAGAAGGTTCCTCACTATATTGGAGGGACTGCAACTAATCACTGATGCCTAAATGGATATGAAGTGTCTCACAGTACCGCTCTTAGGGCTGGAATGGATCATGATAGATCACCTATCTGTCCGTCTGACCCTCTGGAAAATTAACTGTATTCAAACCATTCCTGACAATTATTTATCTGCAGTATTTTAAACACTCCAGTAAGGTATATACCACACTTTATTCCAATAGCTTATTATCCTAATTATCCTAGCTAGGAAACTTTTTGAAAATCTTATTTATTTATTTATTTATTTATTTATTTTTCTGAGGTTTAAACTCATTGCTTCTTCTTGTAGTCCAGCAGTTCGGGAAAGCAACTTCTCTTTCTAGCAATATATGCACTATTTAGTACATAAAAACCCATAACAGTCTGTAACAATGGCTAAAAGCAGATCACAAAGGGTAAAAGCTAGACAAATATTTATACTTGCCCCACCTCAAATCCAAATTCTCTGAGGGTCCATCTGGGATTTCAACAGCCAGAAGTGTTTTCTTCTATAACTTTTATATTACTAAATCTCTCACCATCAGGAAAGTCTTGTTAGACTGCTGCTAAATTATGCAGCTGACTGAGACTTGTTCAGCTTATACTGGCCTGTGAACTACTTTAAGCTACTCTGAAACAGTTATGGTTGTATTATTTAAACCCTAGCAAATAATAATCTTATATAATATTATGCTAGCAGTGCATCACAAAGAGACCGGAATTTTTCTAATAGCGTTCAAGTTGATGTAAATCAACTTCCAGGAATTTTAGAAACTGTTGTGAACGCAGAAATGTCATATAACTCCTGGGCCTGCTCACTGTGGAGACTGCAACTAGAACTTTTTTCAATCTCCTCCTGTTACTCCAGCTGTTCTCTACTTCAGCAACAAGAAAATTCCTTAAGAACAATCTTTAAGCTTGAGAATTTACACCAGTGTTAATCAGTACAAACCACTGAAATCTGAAAATTTCCTTTGCTTGCACAGATTGTATAAAGTATGCTTCATTTGCTTTTTAATGAAAGTATTAGAGCCGACATTTTTAATAGGGGAGAAAGTGTTGACATAAATGTCTCAAACTTCAGTAGAATTCTAGATTCTAAACAGATCTATATTTCTTGGAAATTTTCATCTTTAATATGCTCTGAATTGTAGTAGATGTTTTATTCTATTGAAAAATAGGAAAGTTGTCATAGTTTAATTGATATTAAAGATACACTTTAACTCCAGAGAAACCTATCCAAACTTCGAAGGTATTGTCAGGCCATCTATGTCAGCAAGAAAGCTCAGTTTCACTTCCGTATGTTGGTATGTTGTCCTGCACATCTAACTTGACCTACAGTATGTTCTTTACTGTCTCTCTTTTTGTTGTTTCCAGTTGCTGGATGGCATGGGAGCCTAGTCTTGGTGCTTTTTATGGGCCAGTAGCATTCATTGTGCTAGTTACCTGTATTTATTTTCTCTGCACCTACATTCAACTGAAGCGCCATCCTGAACGCAAATATGAGTTAAAGGAAAGGACAGAAGATCCGCAGAGAATGCCAAGTACTGAAGTGAGCCATGGTCACATGACAGACGCTGCGTCCGTTCCCCAGGCAGCCTGCTCCATGATTTCTTCTTCCTTACTGGAAAATGAGCATTCATTTAAGGCTCAGCTTCGAGCTGCAGCATTCACTTTGTTCCTGTTTACTGCCACTTGGACCTTTGGAGCGCTTGCAGTATCTCAAGGTCATTTCTTGGATATGATATTTAGCTGTCTATATGGAGCCTTCTGTGTGACCTTGGGGCTTTTCATCCTTATCCATCACTGTGCAAAGCGAGATGATGTATGGCATTGCTGGTGGTCCTGTTGTCCATCTAGGAGAAACACCTATTCTGTCCAAGTTAATGTGCGCCCAAAAGTCAACATCAATGGGGACACTCAAGTTCATGCATCTTGTCTTCAGGAATCACCATGTCCCAATAAATCAGCTGTGTTTAATCATCCAGCTGCTAGCCACTGCAAACTCACTAACCTCCAAGCGGCTCAAAATCACGTTAACTGCCTTTCTCCCGTGACACCATGTTGTGCAAAAATGCACTGTGACCAGCTACTTGATGATGAAGCTCACATTCATGTCCACAACGAGGGAAGCTTCAGACCCAATATGCACATTCATAGATGTCTGAAAAGCAGAACTAAGCCACGTTATTTCAGTCGGCATAGATCAGCAGGTGAAAGAGAATACGCCTACCATATTCCTTCAAGTATTGATGGCAGCATCCACAGCTCACATACAGACAGCCCCCACAGTACACATGATAGCCAGTCGGGTCACAGACGGGCCTGCTGCTCGAAAAGCGATCCATATCCTACTGTCAACCAGCCTGAAAGTAGTGATGCAAGTACTGTCATATATAGTTGTACTAAAATGTCAGAAAGTGACACTGTGCACCATCCAGCTCATTTTGAAATGCATCCACGGACACAGTCATTGCCATTTAATACAACAAATCATAATGGAATTCTCAAGGGAAACGTGCACGAAGCCATGATATACAGCTCAGATAGTACAGGAAATATCAAAACAGGCCCTTGGAAAAATGAAACTACTGTGTAGTTCATGGGCCATCATAATGTCTTTTCTCCACCTAGACATCATTAAATTTGCTTTTATTCAAACCTAAATAAGATGACATAGTCGTGTAGTTCATCAGCAAATTGTACAGCCTTTCCATCTTTATTCCCATTTTCTTAATGAGAGTATAAAAAAGAGAGATTGTGAGTTTTGGAAGTGAAGTTATTTTTAAAAGAAAGTTATAAAAATAATTCTGAAAGATAATTAGAAGATAAAGTGTAGACAACTGAATAAGAGAGGCAATATCCTTTTGTTGCACAGAACATTTATTTAGAAATACATTGTTGTCATTCATTATTCTCACTTTTGTTCTGTAGTAATTTCAGACGACTTTTATAAGCATATCAGCATCTTAAACTTTTACTTATTTATTTTTGTAGCAAAATATTATTACTGTACCATGGATTTTAATCAGAAGTGACTATGGTAGAAACGATAAACAGGATTTTATAAAATTACAGCTTTTTAGAAGTACAAAAGTGATACTGCCTCTAACAATCTTCTGTAGCATATGGCCTGTAAAGTCGTGTAATGTACAGTCTCTGTTATGTCCTTTTTCTTGTTGGAGAAAAGTGCTAGGTAATGTCTCTGTTACATCTATGGTGCTGTATTGGTTGTATTTTGCATGACATATGTCAGGATATACCATTTGCTGTTTTATAGTGTTACATGTGTTTAAAAAAAGAACAAAAAAAAGTGTTGTACAAGGCTGTGAAAAACCCTATTGATATTAATCTAGAGCATTATAAATCTACAGGAAAAAAAATCACTCTGCACTAGTTTAAGTGGCACAATCCTTCGTATAAGGTTATATGATAGCTTTGATAAGGGTCCACTCTAATGTCTTTACAGAGCATGCACTACTCATAGTATGTGACACTGTGCGGTGTAATAGCAACTGTCTCAACAAGTTTTACACTCCTTTGTAAAGTATGCCTTTTGAACAAATCTGTAAGCTGTTCCCCAATAACCTTTCCACATCTGTTAAGGTAGAGCAGTTTTATCATTAACTCTTTGAGGACTACAGTTATTTTCTTAAAAATAGCTTATTCTAATTCAGAGACTGTAAATATGATGTTGTCTATTTAGTTACATGCTCAATGTAGTCCAGAGTTGCCAGGAAAGAGAAGGTTCAATCATACACCAAAACCACACCTTTCTAATTTCACCTCTTCCTTTCTGAAAATCTGTCTCCTCTCCTAGCAAATTTCAGATTGTCTTCATTCTTTAATGCAAATTTGACCTTCAGTGAACTTCTTTATGTTCATGATTTCTGCTTAATTGTAGGGCATCCCAGGGTCAGTAACACTCTCTATTAACAACGCTTAACAAGGCTTCCTATGACAAGAAATTTTTTTCATGTTTCCATGAACATCTGGACACAAAGCATCAACTCACAGTACAGAACTACATCATAATGATCCTTATATGAAATAAAATGGCTTTTTTCAGATAGGAATGGTGCAGAATGATAATGAACCGCATGAAGTGAATAGGAGCATAGAGCTGAGAGAGAAATGTCTACAGTGAAAAGTGAGCAGTGTACCCATAAATAAGAGAAAAAGCACAATTCTGTATGGCCACAAGAGAAAGTTTGCTCTCATGTCTTAGCACAGGCTTACGTAATTGTTATATTGCTGCAGAGAGGAAATAGAAAAATCTCTAGAAAGGTCATCAGTCTGTGATTCTCTGTGCATATTTTGCAGAAATCTCCATGTACTTCCACTTATTCGTTGGTTGTTTTTTTGGTTTGTTTTTTTTTTTTTGTTTGTTTGTTTGTTTGTTTGATTAAATTTTGAGTTTATTAGTCTCTACCTTTTTTTTTTTTTTTAGTATGTAGGAATGCATTTCCTAATAGTGTACATAAAGATGACAATTATAATTGTTAGAATGTTCTAAAAACATGTAAGTCAGATGAATGTGTTCTGCAGTGTTGCAGGTGGGAATTAGTACTCAAAGGGTTAATGCTCAGTATCTGAGTGCAAGAAATCTTGTTTTTCTGTATTTTTGTAAATTTGAAATATATATTGTAAACTCCAGCAGTGCAATGTATCCATCTCAGATTGTGTATTTTTAAAAGGTGAGCAAGAAGAATGCACTAGGTGGTTGTCTAATTTTAAGCCAATAGACAATAGCTTCATGACTGCTTCTTTAGCTAATACAAAACAACAACAACAAAAGAAATGCCTGAGCTTTATTATGTATATGCTGTATATGCTTGGACTGTCTCTAAACTAAAATACAGTATTTTTCTTTGTTTGCATAACGAAATATTTTCTGTTCAGTAATTATTTTCTTTTCATCTTACTTTTACTCATTTCACATAGACAGTGAGCCCTAAGCAAGCATAGACATAATGTGAAATACCACTTCTCTGTGTCTCAGCACTATGTATATGTATATTCTGTACTAGCAAAATCCTAGGGGGTCTGTAGACCATTATGCAAAATGTTATACACACACACAGATACACACACACACAGAGCCAAGTGACGTACTCACTCTGCAAGAACCTACTCAGTGAGCTCCTCTATTCAGCTCATGTTTTAATCACCTCTGTTATTTCATCTGAGAGGCTTGTTCAGTCTTCATAATGGCTTACAAAAGGATAAATAGGTGCTGCTTTCCACAGAATATCTTGTGTGATAAAACCCTCTGGAATTCGAACATAAAATATTAAAACACCTTTCTTATGTGTTAAAAAATTAATTTAGTGACTATTTCTGGGCTAATTTGGAAGAAATGTGTTATGCAATAATCTGTTTGCATATTATTTTTTCAGAAAATATGTGGTATAACTACAGAGCAGGAGAACATGATATTAAATAAATATAAAAATGTTTTGTAACATCAAATTTGACCAAAATGCTTTTTGTGCTTTTGACTTTTTTTTTTTCCTTATGATAAAGGAGATAATTTCAATGCTTTGGGAGTCTGGCTTTGTTTTATTGTGCGTTTTTGGTCCATTGCAGTCAGTGAGCCATCACTACTTTACCTGATTTTCTTTCCTATAAAAATAAAGTCAATGAAATAACAGGAATTTAAGAGATATATTGTCCTAGCAAATTCCTTCTGGACATAAACATGTAATGTGCTTCAATGTCAGCACTAGTTTTGGTGATTCATTTTTGACATAAAAATGACTGAACAGACTTTTACCATTCACCTCCTATCTGAGATTAAACAGGAGAAATTTCATCCACCAAAAGATCATTTTGAAGAACAATGCAATCAACATAAATCTGAAGTTATTGTTACAGTACTATGAGGATAAAAATGGGCGCTGGTGCTGTATGCAGTGCTCTTCTCTGGGTACAGAAATGACCGAATTTCAGATCATCAACCTGACTCCATTTTAAATCACAGAGACTATATACAAGAAGAACTCATACCCAGCCTCATTTAAAAAGTTATGTCAGCTTACCTACAACATCTGGTTTGCTGGAATGAGAGTGAAAGAGCAAAACAGATTTTGTCATCAGAAAAGCCTGAGTTAGAGGAAAGATTTTTGGATGCTCTGTCACAAAGCTGCTTTAGGTTCACTGCATGTGGTAACATGAGCTGAACCATCCCGGATGCACTGAAGATTTTAATATGCTCTTGGACAGAAATCATCAGGACATACAAAGCTGACTGTGACTTCTCAGAGTTGGAGGTATTTTCCTCTGAAAATTAGATTCCAGAAAGAATGACTTACTTGTTTTTTCACAATGAGGAGACTGACATGGGAGCCCTGTCCACTCAACTATTTGAAAGCAAAGCTGACATCAGGAGCAGGCCAGTAATCTTTTTAACATAGCATCTTTGTTACATGGAAACACAAGGAAGGAAGGAGGGTGTGATTCTATCTGTGAAGGAGGTTACCCATAATCTCACTGAGCTTTTGTTGCCTGTGCCAAGGAATGTCAGGCCTATAAAGGCACGAGCATCTCAGTAGCTTTGCAGAAATGTAGAAGTTCCTGTAGCAGCATCCTCTAGTTCACAGAGAAGCTATGTGTGGCAGCTGGATCAATCAGCGTCCATCAGGCTGACTGGCTTCAGTTAAGCAATTTGTAACTTTGTGCTCTAGGCAGTCCTTACTCACTTCGTTAACTCTGCTACGAAGGGAGCTTTTGGTTTGGATTTTCTTCTGCCTCACTGAAAATTTAGAGCTTGGTTGGATATTTTTTAATTAAAAATTTAATTGCTAAGAAGAAAACTTACGCTATAGATTACTATCACTACGTGAATCTTCCTTTCTTATTCCATTATTAGTAGGTTTGCCAAAGTGCAAGTTAATTCCTATTTACTTATCCTACCAGTCTATTATCTGGATTTTCAGAAGCCAAACAAACATCAAGACAAGGATGGTGTTATAGGGCTCAGTTCTCTGCAAGCAGGGTTGAGATCTGGTTTGCAAGCTCTAGAGCAGTTCAACCTCAGACCAATATTGTGCCTTAGGGTTGTGCAGCTGGTCGTGCCTGAGAGGTAATGTTTTTTTGTAAACATGGTGTCTGTATACCCCATAGGTACTTCTGTCTCTTCGCATTTTGATCTGTTTGAGCTCTGTGTTGCCTTGCAGTCTGAACAGCAAAATGACTGACTGTTCCCATCAGCCTGTCCCTCAGCTCCAGCTGTTCCCTTAAGCTGCAGTGAAATGTTGAGCAAGTTTGTCCAGCATGGTCAGTGTTTTCATTTATTCCTTTATTCATTTCACACTATACTCAACAACACCTGAGGAAGGCAGCAAAAGGAGCTTATTTTAGGGTTAAGGGAGAAGTTCGGGAGAAGACAAAGCAATAAAATCTGATGGGTTTACCCATGATTCAGATTCTTGTCATAGGACTCCTTTTTGTTAGCCTATTTGTCACTGAGCTGTAAGCACTTGCAGTCATTTATTCCCCAATTCTTTCCATTGTAAGACTTTGCCCTCTACTCATTAGAACATAGCTGAAACTTAGCTATGTTGTTTGTTTTATATCCTCAGCAGTCACTGTCCTCAGAGTAGTTTAGAGAGTTCAGCTGCCCAAAGGATACAGTGTTTTCACCAGAGACTTCAGGAAAGAACATTTGTCCACAGTAACTACTTTTGGTGATATTTGAATGGTTCTGTCTGCAAGGCTAGGTATTTGAAAACCTTGCAAAGGATGGCTTTTATAAGGGCACATTTTGCTCTTTCTAGAAAGTAACCAGTTCTGTACAGATGAGAATTTTAGCTACCAAAAATATCTCTGTATACTATCAGCCTTTCTTCAGATTCATGTGCCATGAGTGGGGCTACACTCACTGATCACATTATGCTACAAATTACAGGAATGCTGTAGCACCTGGAGGACCCACTCTATAAATGATTGATTTCAACTGGAATTAGAATGAAAGGCAGGGAGCTTTGGTTCTCTTCTCCTCTGCTAAACTCTCCAGCTTGCCCTCTCTTAGAGACACCAAGATGGCAGTTTTGGAGGAGGAAAACTGAAGAAATTGAGCTTCCAGCAGTAGATCGAGTTGAATGAAACAAGCTAACTAGTAGGAGAGAAGCTGATATATGCTGGAAACTGCAACAAGCTGGCTTAAGGGACTGTTTGAAGCTGGAGGGGTAAGGAGGCTCACAGTGTTGATAAAATGAACTGGGAAGTAAGGAAGAAACCATGACCAAATTGATAATGAAGAAGGGAGAATTTGGTGAAACAACAGTGTCCATCCTTGTTTCCAGGCTGAATATGTAAGTTAAGCTTTGTGATTTCCCTATAGTCAGTAAACATCTGAAAACCCACTAGCAAATTGCCTATTCTCTTATAATGTTGATCCTCATAATAAATGACAGCATATTAGTGCTGTCAGCTATTCCATTAGCATAAGTGTCAGAAATCTCTGTAATGGATCACAGATGCTCACAGCTGTTGATTAACCAGATAGTGGTTCATGTGCCACATGATAGAATTTGTCTTTAATGGGCTCTTTCAAAATCCAGGCACTCTCACAAAAAAGCCAACCAATTTCAAACAGTACTGGTGAGGCTCAAACTCAGACAAAGCAAATTGAGAATGTGTTAGAAGTAAGGCTGCTTTTGGAACTTCCACCTGGCAGCTTGGCTCTGTCTTTTGATGTTGTTTTTAACCTTTTGAGTGCATTCTCCTTCCTAACACCTTGGCTCTGACTGACCTTGGCCTTCTTTTCCCAACCTGACTTTTCTACCCTTCCCTGCGCTGAACGCTAGAAACAAAGTAGTTGGGAAGACTTCTTTCCTTTAAACTTATCCTGCTTTGGGACTCTTTTGAAAAGGATTTGAGGAGGTGTAGGACTCTAGCAACTCATGCTGATGTAAAGGCTGCCTGCAAATGTCATCTTCCCCTGCAGCAGATCTGTGTTTGGAAATCTTCCAGCTAGAATAGATAGCAGAGGCTGCTGAGAAGGGCACCCATGCATGATTCTCTATGCTGCGTGTTGTGCTAACTTTGGGCAGTAAGGAGTGGGCATGCTTTAATTCTGGGCACCACACAACAGCCTCCTTAAGCCCACAGCTGCCTAACAGAAGGGAGAGAGCTTCAGCATAGACATGTGCACCTCAGTCTCTGTTTGTTACACAAAGGTGTGAACTCCAGAAAGGTCCTCTCCCCCCAAGCACTTGGTGCCCCATTGCTAATCTCAAGCCCATTGCCTAAACCAACAGCTGGGAAGCCCCGGGTGCCATAATGTGGGATGGTGTGAGGATGCATTATCAGCATTGAGGACTGGTTTCTCTATCTTGTGTGATACCTACAGAAGCTTTCCCAACACTTATACATGGAGAGGAAAAAAAAAACATGGCAGAGAGAGTTACGTTAGCAGTTTATCCCTACTGGGATAGTAAGGGGACTATTTTAAGTGCAGCAAGAGCTAAACAAACCTCCAGCCATTCTCAGTACAGAAGCCTTAATTCCAGCATTATAACAACGTTGTATTCCACCTGACAGTGCAGCACAGGCAACGTGACATACAGTCAAGGACTATAGTACATTGAAAGTAAGTACACTTCACACACAATGCTCTTCTCCTGGGTAAAAAAAAAAAGCTGTATGCAGTTGTACAGTAGAAACATTTTCTGCATTCTCTGATACATGGGTGGATTGGTTTAAATTAAGGATCTGTTTGGTTTGGATGTGCAGTTAAATATTTTTGTAATATTTGAAAACAGAAAGATACATTTTTATTATTATTATTTCTTGGCCCAAAGAAAGCTAATCATCAGTATTACACTGAGATGTTATTTTTCTTCAGTGTGTAGCTAATACAAAGTTGGAGAGGTGTATGACAGTGTACTACAACAACAGTGAAAAGCAACCATGGAAAATGGAGAAAGTCCCCCTGCTGTCAGTGGTTCAGAGTTTTACCTACAAGGGGGCATTCTAGATCGTGCCATCTACTTCATTAGCCCATTCATCTCCTCACTGTGCTATTACGTTTCAATCTCTTAACAAAGCTGGGGAGATTAGAATATGCCAATCAAATTCAGCATGGTTTGAACAGTCTCTGGTCTAAGTGGCTTATGTAGATCATTATAGACTGTTGCAGAGAAACTGCTGATAGAGACAAAACATACAGGATGTGATTTCAAAGGCTTTGGAGCTGTAGGATGAGAAGTCTTTAGCAAGAGTCCTTTTACTTAGACAAAGTAAAAATAAAATATCTTATGTAGGATATAAGGAGGCTTGAATTTAAATTGGTGAAATGATGAAAGAGACCAACAAAACAGCATTTTGAACAGCTCAGCACAGGCTATCCCTCCTCATGTAACCACTGCTAGGGGATGTTTAATTTATGCAGTCTTTAGTCAAACTTTTTTTCACTTTATTTAGACATAGAGTTGAAATCGGTCTCCATGGGCCCTGCACTGAAAGTACAGTGCACAGAAAGACACAGTGTTCTGTTCAGAACCCAGTCTGAAAATTGATGAACTGCAAACCTCA